GGAATTACTGGCGCAAATGAAATCACTGGGCATTAGGGCAGCCTACTGCAGCCTTTGAAAGGGGGACTGTAACTGTCTGGTTTTGCTGATCTGACAGGCATAATTCACCCTGATTATTCATTGTCCTAGTTGCCACCAGATGACACCAGGTTTCTGTTGACTGTAATTACAATATGGGGGTAAATTTGAGCTTTTTTTTTTTTAAATAGTGTTCTACCCATTTGGTTATTGGCCTCCCTGAGCTGAAGGTGCTGTAGGAAGAATTCCACAACCTCCTGAGGAGATGATGAGTGCACAACAGTCAGATAGCATTTACTGAGCACTTCCTTACACATCTTTTACCAGATAAGCAGGGAAACAATTTGGTGTAGTCTGTTTCATTTCAGTTGACGGTACCACTTCTTGGTTATGCTTACTTCCCTATGTGCTACATTGCTGCTGTCAGAAAGTGGGTCTACATCTCAGAGCCCACTTTGAGTAAGGGGAGCAAAGGATGGCCCCCAAATGTAACTGATAAGACCTCCTGTTTTCAGGCATGCTTTATTAAAGGAAAAAGAGGAAGAGACTGGAATTATGCTTCCATTTTATTGGCATGGTTTCATAAAGATCCCTGTGCAGTCCAAAGAATGTCCTCCCAAGAAACCTCTGCTCCCCTCTGCTCCCCATCCCCAGATGGCCCTCCCCAACCTCTTGCACACCCTAGCCAGTTGGGTGGTTTGTGCCTGCATGTGTACTTGCGTGTGAGTGCGTGCACATGTGGTCCTGGGAGAGAAATGAGTGTGATGGGCTCAATGTGTCCAGTCCCATCCACTGAGTCTTCCACTGACCAGTGAGGCAGGAGTGAACAGCAGACTGCTATTATGACATTTCATACACCCCACTAGCAGATGGTCTTTTTTATTCCTGTATGGTATATGTGTTTGTATGTTTTTATTTTTGAAGAGATGCTCAGTTGGTTCAAATAGCTGGTTAATTCTTTTTAACAATGAATGTAGTTCATCAAGCATTCACTGGGGCCCAATAAGTACCAGGCAGTGTGCTATATGCTAGAGGTATGAAGATCGTCTTTGCTCTCAAGGAACTTACAATACAGATAATTCTAAAATAATATGTTAAACTCTAAGCGTAAAATGTACAGAGATTGCTTACAGAGTACTTAGCACAGCCAGAAGTTAAGAGGAGACTGCCTATAGAAGATGATGCCTGATTTGAGGAATAAGAGTTACCCAACTGAATAAAGGTGAAAAGCAGATTTCAAGAACATAACAAAGGCATATTTATGTTTACCATTTCCTCCCTCCAATTGACTGGTATTGGTTTAACCTAATCAGTTAAATTTGGATTGGGTTTTCATTATTTTTCCAATGAAAATGAATTTCAGCTTAGTTGCACAGTCTCTGTACCTTGGGAATAATCTTAGGCCCTGGGGAGATACTAGGGAGTTCTAATCCCTAGACTTAGGGCTTCCAGTGGTGAGGCTTGGCTCAGAGACCACAACTTTGGGATCTGTGTCCTCCTCCTTTTGAGCCTCTATCCCCCACTCAGAGCGTTATATGGAAAGCCAGGCTAGCTGGCCTCACTATATAATATACAAACATACCATAAAACATACAAATACATATGCCATACAGAACCTGCAGAATAGTGGTACATCTCAGAGTGGTGGCTTCCAGAAGATTAGCTATGGATGAGCAGGTTCTCAAAAAATTGGGCCTTTGTATCTTTTTCTTCCAGGATTATCAGATATAAGTAGTACCCACTTACCTCCAACAAATGGAGATGATTGTTCCACCTGACTCCCTCTCATTTGGGAACCATAATTGAAAACAGAAAAAACAAGCTGTCCCTATAAGGGTGGCAGGGATAGTACCTGAGTAGTTGTATAGTGTGAGCCAGATAGCACAATTGCTAAGGGTCTTCATCTTCCCCCTAAATGATTGCCTTGCTCTCTAGCATACTTTTCTTATTCCTTCTGAACTCTCTGCTTTGTTTCCCTTTAGAATGGTGGTTTGGCCTGGAGTGATGATGCAGATGGAGGCCGGGGAAGAGAGATCTCTCGAGATTTTGCCAAGGTCTGTAATAGTTTCTTTTGTGATAATGAAAGGGGCAGTTCTGTGGTGAGTTATTGTATCTGATACCCAAGGAGTAGGACAGTAGGCCTATGAGTCACATTTGTAGTCATTCAGATGGTTGTGTATCTCTGGTGTAAGACTTCCTGCATAAGATGGAATTTTTCTCTTTTCTTTTTTCTTTTTTTTTCTGGGGGGATCGGAATTGCAGCTGTATGAACTAGACGGTGATCCGGAAAGAAAAGAGTTCTTGGATGACCTCTTCATTTTTATGCAGAAGAGGGGTGAGTGTGTAGTCTACTCGTTTCAATTCTGTGAATATTTATTGAGTGTTTACTGTGTACAAGTCACACTTCAACTTAACTCTTCCCCACAGAGTACCAGCGTCTTAGCCCATGAAGATAAGACACATTTACTGCTGATTGGTTTCAAACTTAGCTGAACAATTGACACCCAGATTTAAGAGAGCAGAGAGGGCCTTGGCAAAAAAATAAATGGAACAATCATCCCAATTGGGTTTTGCCTTATTTTTGACACTCTTCTGATTAACTGGTCTCTGGAGTCATTTCAAATTCAAATATACTTTTTTCTTAGCCTTACAGCTTCTCTGGGCATCACTTAAACCAGTATGTGGAGCTTCCTGTTGCTGCATCTCGCCTTATAGAGACTAAGAAAGGCTAATGAAAGAATAGAGGCCCCTCAGGATTTGTTGGGAGAGTCTGAAATGACCCATGAAAAGGAAAGCTAACTCTTTTTTTTCTTATCCATCGATTCTTTTATTTTCGCCTCCACTGGCTTAGTTGG